TAGAATGAAGACCAATATCCTCAACAAAGCTACATCTACTGTTGCCACCTTCTCCTTGCTCCGGAGTCTATTGTTCTTTCTGCGACAGGACCTTTGCACAAGCTGTTCCCTCTAACTGAGACACCATTCCTCTTCCCCTTTCTCTGTCTAGTTAGCTTCTGTCAACCCTTCAGAGTTAGGCTTAATTATCACTAATTCAGGGAAGCCTTCCTTGACCTTGACAAAGACATTTTTTTTCCACATGGCATGTGTCTTTCCTTCATGGCTCCTTTCAAAATTGTAGTTTTATGTTTTTCCTTGGTATTTTTGTTTAATTTCTGTGTCTTCTACTAGCCTGTGAGTTCCTTGAGAGAAGGGACTTTGTCTTTTCTTTTCTCTCTCTCTCTCTCTCTCTCTCTCTCTTTCACTCTCATTGTTGCACCCCCAGTGCCAGCATTGGGTTTGGCACATGGCGTATATTCAAGAAATAGTTGTTGAGTACATGAATAAGTATCTGTCTGGTGTCAGGAACTGTGGGAAGGGGAGATGAGGGAATTAGTGGAAATAAGTAAAAATCATCCCTCTGAATGTCCCATTTAGCTAGTGAGAAACAACCAGAACACATGGAATAACAATGGATCAAAGACACAACACACCCCACCTGGCTAAACTCTGCTGTGGGTTATAAAATCATGCTCTGAAGGATGTGGAGGACTTAAAAGAATGAGAGGAAGGAAAGGAACCCAAGGTGTAGAACAATTTGATATTTACATACTATGTGCCTTCTGTTGGCAAACACACAAAGATGCTTAAAACATAGCACCTGCCCCAGGGCCTTACAACTGGGTTGGGCAGAGCAGAACTACGCACAATTTAATGCACTCTTACGTGCCCAGCAGGGGCCTGAGCGAAACCTCAGCTGGCTAGCCTCAGGAGGGAGAGGGACAAAGCAAGCCTGGACTGAACGACAATTTGTGACTTGGATTGCCTGCCTCCTAGGGATGGGACAGAGACCAGGTTTCAATGTGGGAACCCAGAGAAAGCCTGGCTCTCTTACTAAAAAGAGGGAGTGGTTTAGAGAAAAGGGGCAGGAGTCAGTCTGGGAAGGAGTTGTTAGAAGTTGAGATGGGATTGTCTCTGTTCTCTTTCTTAAATCAGGAAAACATGGACTTGCATCCAGAACGTCTGGGGAAGCGAGTTGGTTTAACCTTTCCAGACAAGCCCTTAAGATAGAGTTTTGAAAAATTAGCCTGCTAAGAAGAAAAAGGCTATAATGCTGATGTGCTGCTCTCCAAGGTGAGAGGAACATTCAGAGCCAGCTATGGGCAGGAGGAGCCCGGAGGAGGCAGTCGCGAGTGCCATGGAGACTATGTGGGGCCATTTCTCCAGTAGGTGGGAGGGAGGGGCCAAAAAGGGGACTGGGAGCAGGAAAAGGTGTTAGCTCCACAGAGCTGTCACCAGAGAGCTTTCCAACATTTAAAGTTGAGATTCGTTACCTAGGGTGTACAGATGGGCTACAGGTCTGAAAACACCCTGCTGTTGAAAGAAAAATTGTTTATTTCTAGATATCTTTCTGGGGAGAGTTTCCATAGCTTTTTTCAGATTCTCTAAGGGGTCTTTGAACCATAAAGAGCTTCACCAAAGCTCACCATTGACATGCTTTGAGGGACATAATTCTAGAGAGAACAATCCATTTATTGAATCATTTCTCAGATAAGCTGATCATCATTTAAGGAAGAGGAGAACCTAGGAAGGGAGAACATAGTATGGGACCATGCTATGGGGAAGGAGGTCATTCCTTCATCCATTCATTCAATAAGTATGTACTGAGCACTCTTTAGATCCTGGAATATGGTACGACCAAAACAGAGGAAAATAATTTCTGATTTCTGCCATGTATAATGAAACTTTCATTCTAGGGAGGGGATATTAACTATGAACAAAACAAATGAGTAAAATGTTGAGCATATTTGAAGGAAGCACATGCTAAAGAGAAAAATGAAGCAGCACAGATGGACGGGAAGGGTTTGGCTGGGGTAAGTAAGGGTTTAAGTTCAACAGAATGATCAGGGGAAGGCTTTACCGAGGTTACGCTTGAGCAAAGACCTGAAGAAATCCAGGCACTAAGCCATGCAGCTGCCTGGGGAAAGAGGATCCCAGGCAAAGAGAACAGCCGGTGTGAGGGCCCTGAGGTGGGAGTGTGCCTAGGGCATTTGAAGAGCCTGGTGAAGCTGGAGTGAAATGAGTGTGGGAGAGGCTTCTAGAGAATAAGGTCAGAGATGTAATTGGGGGCAGATTGTGCACTATAAGTCATTCTAAGTCTTTTGACTTTTACTCTGCATGAGAAAGGGAGGCTGTTGGAGAATGTTGAGCAGAGAAGAGTTTTAATAGGTCAGGTGAACAGGCTCACTCTGGCTGATCTGTTGAAAACAGACGAGAAGAAGGCAAGGGTGAAAGCATGGGGATGAGTTTGGAGGCTGCTACTGTAATTTGGACAAGAAAGGATTCCATTTCAACCAGGGTGGTAGTGGTAATGAGAAGTGGGCAGGTTCTGGGAGAAAAATGCCATAGAAAGTTTCATAAGAAGCTAGAAAGAGGCAGCAGCAACATAGCTCAGTGACTTCACAATGTTCGGGGGCCATGCCCTGCCCTGCCCATCCAGTAGACCCACGTTAGAGGTGCTTTGCAAGTGGTAATGTGCTGTGGCGAAGGAGCCCTCGCCCTGCCCTGTACCCGCTGGGCCCCCTGAACAGGTCATTTATTCCTTCAGGACTAAAGCTCCCTGACTTACAAATAGGAAGAACAAGTTTCTGATTTGCCTAAGTGGTCTTAGATGGGACTCTCTGCTGTCTTAAAACGTCTTCTCATTTTGGGATCTATGATTTTGGTTCAGTGAGTAACTTTAAAAACATCAGAGATGCCACATCAGAGCCAACACGGTTCTTTGAATGAATAACCGGTGTCACACTCTGATTTTTCCCTTCCCTGGACTTTCCACCACCTACAGGACTTATGCTTGACTTGCTTCTCGGGATGGGGTGAGGGAGAAATCCCCATGTGGGTTATGACAGAGGACAACAGTTCACCACGAGAGGCTCGGATCCTAGTGAAAGTACATAAACAGCATTTTGAACCAGAGCAGGTGCATCATTAGGCAGCATCCACTAGCCTTGTCTATGTAGACAGCCTAAAGCAGAAAAGGACAGCTCACAGTCTCATGATCCAGGGCAAGAAGGAAGGTCACAGCTAAGATCACCCAGGCTGAAACAGTGTGTAACCAAGTTTTAACAAATAAAAATCTCATCTCAGCCCAATTAGCACAGCGTTTAGGGATTGGGAGATGGTTAACGAAACTACGCCACTCTCTTTGGAACAGGATGCAGAAGTTAAGGATGACTGTGGCAGGCACTCCGGAGTTTGCCTGTCCCCTTCAGATCACTTCTTTTCCAGAAGCCCCTGCTGTGTGGGTCACACAACTGCCTCCCCGCCCCAGGTCCTGGGTTCACAGGTGGCATCCTGACCTCAGCTGGGCCAGGTAGAGAATCTTTCTCAGGAGTGTGGGATGCTGAGCTCATTTTCCATCAGGGGGAGAGCAGAGGAAAGCTGGGGCAGGCATGGCAGTATGTGAAACAAGTGCATACCCGAGGGGCTGCTGACTAGACAAACCCAGGCCGGCATGCGGAGAAAAGCAGACCGAGAAATGGTGTGGCCAGGGCAGTGCTGGTGTCTCACTTCTTGGCCCCAGTCCCTGGGGAGGCCTTGGCAGTTCCTGCCCTTGGTTTCTTTGAGTAGTAGCTCCTGTATCTACCCAGTAAATCCCTCTTTGTTGTTTAACATCATTGGATTTCTACTTCTTGTATCCAAATAATCCCTGAAATGTACCAAGTAAGATTCTATTGCAATGTGGGGAAAGGCTTAAGCTATAAAAGCTATTAAATTGCGTATATATTCTATATTTGTTGTTCTGGAAAAAGTATGTAGAAGAGAACACTAGCTGGAAGGAAAACATAAAAATATCTCTGGTGGTTTACGAGATTGTGTTTCCAAATTTCCACAAAATTATTGTGGTGTTCTTATAATCTTTGAAAGAAGCTGTTGGGCAATCACATACATATTTGATATTTGAACTATGAAAGCCTCCATAAGTGATTTCCAAAATAACAGGCAGCACAGTCCACAAATAAGTGTATCTTTATACAGTTACCCTGGAGTCAACACACATAAGTGTAGTCCTAAAAAGTCAAAGGACAATGTTAACTTGAGAACTCAGACATGTGAGTTCTTTCATATTTTTATAAAAGGAGGGAAACATACTAGATTCATACGTTTGTTAATTTCCGATTTTTCTTGGTATCAGTTTTCTGCAGTCAGGTCCCTCCTCGGGTGTGAAAACGTCACCAGGATTCCCAGAGAGCTCAAATACTTGAGTATGTAACCCAGGAGCGTGTCTAAAAAGCTGAATTCACTGCATACCTGCAAGACTCCAGACACCACTCCTGAACCTTTCCCCAGACTTGACTGCCCCTCTTCTGGACGGAAGTTCTATTTTCCTGTGCTGACCAGCATCACTTGTGCTTTCAGCATAGCTCTTGCCATCAGTCCTCTCAGGTCCCACAAAGCCCATGACCAGGCAGACCCATGGTGCAGTGTGAGTTAGTGCTGTGGGATCCAGGCTCAGCTGGTCCAACCTAATTATTTCACAGATGAGAACACTTTGGCCCAGAGAGGAGAAAGGACTACGTTGGGGTATCATATACATTTGCTGATCAATGCAAAGGACTTGCCTTCCCTCTAGTGAATCTGGGGTTGGCTCTTTGAGATGACTCAGGGATGGAAGCGAGGAGCTCTGAACCCACTTTTCCTACACATTTGACAGAGGACTTGGCCATGACCATGCAGAGTTTGTCTTCTGGTTGTCTCCCTTAAACACTGTTCAAGGAAGTATCACACCTGGAGCTACTTCCTCCTCATCCCTGAGATGTTACAGACACCCGCCCAGGACAGCCTGCAGGGGTCCTTACCTCCAGAGGGTGTGCCAGCTACTCTCCTGAGGAATTTCACCCACTCCTCCATCTCCGTCTGGGAGCTGGCCATGAGGACGTAGGAGTCCTGTCCCATGCGATTCTGGTCCCATGAGGCTGGAGGAAGAAGTTGCACTTATGAAAGTCTTAGAGTGACAAATGGGCCAGAGCAAGAGGAAGGGAAGGGAAGGGAAGCCAAAACTGAGTTGAGTCTCTGGTTCATTGAAGCACTACCCATCAAACAATGTAAAAGCCTTATCTAATTATCCTCAGTGGAACTGGACATCCATGCAGTCTCATTGTCTGTGCGGAAGCTCTAATTCTACAGACAAATCATTGGACACAGTGGTTTGCAATTGGGATAGGCTGAGAGCTGCTTCCACAGAGGACAGAAGCCATTTCCTACCAAAAGGAAGAAGAAGTTCACGGTGCAGGTTCAGCATTAGAGGAGACAGGATCAGCCCATACAAACTGCAAGACAAATCATCGTGCCAATCACAGATATTTTCCTAAGCTAGCCCTGAGCTCAGTTGTAGGGGTGGGGAAGGGGACGACAACCTCAGAGGGAGAGACAATGAGCACGTGTGAGCCTTTCTCACAAAACTGGTGCTTCCTGTTCAGATTACTGTCCTCCTGACCATGCAAGCCCTTGCAAATGGGAGGTTCTCAATACCCAGTTAATGGACACACAAAACTTGTTAGGACTTTTTTTTTTTTTTTTTACAATTTTTGCTTCAAACTTAAGATTATAGACGTGTGCAGTGTTTCCTGGGTTGATGTTTTCAAATGGACAAAATATGAAAGAAATGAGAAGTAGGGGGTTGGAGGGTGGAGTGGAAAGGGAGGAGGAGGCCGAGAGAAAGAATAAGGGGAAGTGACCAAAAAAACACCCAAAACCAAACCAAACCAAAACAAAAAACAAAAAAGAAGGAGCGAGAAGCAAGAGAGGAAAAAGAGTATCAAACATTAGTCTTAGACCACACGGTTAACCCATTTTTCTCACAATGGCTGGGCACCTCCTTTGGAGAGAACCTGCCTGCTCTAGCTGGCCAGTTGTGTCCAAACCTATATATTTCCTGCAGGGCAACTAAAGACTTTCAAATCCCCTTAGGCTCTGGTCTCTTGCACCTATCTTAGTATCACTGAGCCTCACCTTCTTTCACCCTTTTGGACAACCTGATTCTAAATCCATCTTGTCATTGGGTCATCAGCTCTCCTGACCAGAAGGGTCAGTCCATGAAAGCCCTGGCCATTCAGGAACATCCCGACAGCTGGGTGTTTCCGGGAGTAAAATGGGAATTAAAAAGTGCTCAAGACAGAACTACAAGATCCCCTAGGAATTACAATATTCTTTTGAAGTAGAATGGTAAAGTTAGTATTTCCATTTTACAGATAATAGAACTGAAGCCCAGAGATGTAAAAGTACCTGCCCATTGTTATCCAGTGAGTTACTGCCAAATGCAGGGCAGGGCCACTTGTTTCCTTGCTCCCAAGGGACGTTTCCCTAGCCCATATTGCTTCCAAATTTGATCTTGGGCAAAATTTATCTGGAATCCTTTCCCACAATGCTTACACTCCAGTCTACTATGTTGTCAAAACATGCTTTCTTAGTTTTCCCTGCTTCCTGGAAGATGCTCTTGTTCTGTCACGAGCAGCCCATTGGGAAACACCCAACTCTCAGGATGTCCCTGAAAGGCCAGGGCTTCCATGGACTGATGTTTCAGGTCAAGAGAGCTGATGACCTGGTGACAAGATAGATTCAGAATCAGCTTACCCCAAAGGGTGAAAGAAGGTGGTATTAACATAGGTCGAAGAGACCAGAACCAAAGGAGATATGAAAGTCTTTTGTTGTCTTACAAAAAAGTAAACATTTGAGCATAATTGGGGTGCTATGATAGGCTTTCTCTGAGGGAAATTGCCTGACATTGATGATACAAAGCCCACGACCAGAAATTCTGCCCTGAGTACACACTTTCTTTCTCTGACTTAAACACAGCCAGTTCAACATGTGTTACCTATTAGGCTGTTTCCCTAGTCAGAAATGGACCTCCCTTCTTTTCTTAATCTGCCTAAAGAACTCCTACCCATGCTTTAAAACCTGGCTCAAATGTTGTCTTCTCTTGGAACCTTTTCTTAACATCTCCTTTCCCTGCTCCAAGTTGAATGGGGAGTCCCTATTCTATAATCCCTTATATCCTGTCTTTACCTCTATCACAGCAGTAGTTAGATTATCTTGAACATCAGTTTTCTTATTATTACAATTGAGATAATTACTTAATATGGCCAAAACTGAAGACCTAATCCTCCCCCTAAAAAAAAAACAAAAACAAACAAAAAAAAACTTGCTACATGAACAGATCTTAGCAAATATCAGTAAATTTGTCTTTCCCAATGTTTAGGCCAAAACCTTGGAGTTGACCTTGATATCTCTCTCCCACATCCAATCCATCAGCAAATGAAGTGTCTCTACCTTCAGAATGTGATCAGAAATTGCTTATTTCTCAGCCCCTTCTCGTTGCCATCTCTGACTTGCATTCTTGGAAGAGCCTCCTGACCGGTTTCCCTGCCCTGCCCTTACCCCCACTACTTACTTTTTGTTCTCAACTCCAAAGACTTTTAAAACATGAGTCATATCATGTCACTTCTCTGCTCAAGACTTCCCATGCCTTCCCATCCTTCCAGCATAAAAGCTAAAGTTCTTACAACTGCCTACAAATGCTGACAACCTGGGCACACCCCTGACTAAATCCCCTACTCTTGTCCCCGCATCACTCCGCTCCAACCACACTGGCCTCCTTGACGTGTGAAATAGGCCCTGGGGCTTTGCAGTGGCTGTTCTCCTTCCCGGAACACTCTTCCTCCAGATGTGCCCTTAGCTCACTCATCAGTGCCTTCGGATCTTTGCCCAAAGGTCACCTTGTCAATGACACATACTCTGCTGGCTCTGTTTAAAATCAACCACCTCAGCCAGCACTTTTCTCTCTTTGCTTTAATTTTTTCTGTGGTACTTATCCCATAAGAAAAACTATGTGATTTACTCATTTATTTGGTTTGTTGTCAGTCTCTCTGCACCTCCCTCCAACCAGTTTATAAGCTGCATGTGATCTCCACTCCTATAAGAGTACCTGGCTCAGAGCAGGTGCTCAATGAATTTGTTGTATACATGAGTGACAGCAGCTCCTGAAGTGGTATGAGAATTAAATGAGATCACATATACAACAGAAGGAAAAACCCCCATCCCTGGTGACTCCCTGGGATAGGAAAACAGATAGTTTTTCTGCTAGAGATCAGGAAGGAGAGGGAAGCTTGTCCTAAATTGTTGCCTGCCCCAGATGAAAAGCAAAACCTAGCATAACTACCATTAAAGGTTTCTAATGTGGCCTTTGTGCAACTAAAGCTGGTGATCACAGAGAGAGGACCCTGACTAGGAAGCCCATTTCTTGCACCAGCAGTGGCCCCTGAGAATCATCTTGCACAAGAGAACGACAAAAGGGGAACTAACAATTCTCTACATCTTCACATAAAGGATGTCTCACTTTAGGCTCAGCAGAGCCTTGGAAGATGATGGTGCTTTTAGGAAAATGGTTTCCTACCTTATTGTTGTTTTAGATTTGTCCTTATGAGATGTGTGTGTGTGTGTGTGTGTGTGAGAGAGAGAGAGAGAGAGAGAGAGAGAGAGAATGAACCTGTTCAAGAATTCCCCCCACAGCCCAGGAGACTGCTGCAAGCATTAGTGATAACAAGAGGGCAAATCTGCCTCCTGCCCTGGCAAAGCAACATAGGAGGGTTGCATACTTTTGGTAAAAGCCCACAGTGAATTTTCAGCTGGAGCTCTCAGCAGGGTTATCCTAGACTGAAAACCCAGGATTTAGGACATGTGTTGCCATGGATGGTCGTGTCCCATAAGTTGCACTGGGAGAGGGATCCTAAGACTAGAAGAACCCTTATGGGAAAGGAGTGGGATTTTCCTAGAGGGAAGAGATGGAAAAAGCAGGCTCCTCCTCTTTTATCTCACCTTCAGATTCAAAAGCAAAGGATAAAAAAGATAAGAAAGGTCCTCATGATGGGACCACCTGGGAACTAAAAAAATTTTATTTCTTTGTTTTCTATAAATAGTCATAACCAGGTTTAGGATTTTTTCTGCATTATAATTCTCTCTAGTTATCCCCAAGATATCCAACACTTATATGGCACTTACTATATAGTAAGCACTGTACCAAATGTTTCATATAGATTTGTTTACATAACCCTCACTATTATCATCATTGTCCCCATTTTACAGACAAAGAAACAGAGGCAGGAAGAAATTAAGTAACCTGTTACACAAACAGTAAGTGGCAGGGTCAGGATATAGATCAAAGCAGGCTGGCTGTAGACTGAGCATTTCTAACCTCTATGCTATGCTGCCTTCTCCATCAACTTTCTTATGCGCACAGACAGCTTGAGTGAGTGTGAAGGAGGGATTTAAGGGAAGGGGCACTCAGGGGAGTTGTGGTCTCCCCTGCTGTGGTCAATAAGGCAACAGCACCAAGGCTGCACACATAAATCGGGAGTCCTGGATGGAGTTCTTGGCCTAATCCTGGCAGGGTTAGGGCTGGGGTAGGAGCAAGAGACAGGGAGACTGGGAGAAATGACAGATTCAGGAGCATGAGCCAAACTTCCCTTGCTCCAAATGCTTTGGAGGAAGGTAACTCTTGATTGGGAATAAGTGCCCTCCAGTGTGTCGCTCTCACGTGCGATAATGACATGCAGCACCTGACACCTGCTAAGTGCTCAGGAAGTTGGAGCTGTCATTTCTCATTATGTCACATTGAACCATATGAGATGGCTGACTTTTCACCATTTTTGACACACCCAAATGGCAATTTCATGTGGTTCAATTTATATTTTAACAGTTAATTTTAATGTCCCACCCAATCACCATCTAGACAGAGCTCATTTTAGAGAGTAGAGAAGATGTACTTTTTTTTTATCAGTGGTCCAGTGCCTAGTGCATTATCACCTTGGTCCAAGTGCGCACTCATGAAATGCTTACAGAGTTGAATTGAATGCACACCCACTCAGTTCATGGGTATTATTCAAGCACTTGATATTATTTAGTGAACTATGATAGGTTCATTAGCTATATAGAGAACCATTGTGTGTTCTTAATAGGTTGGTTGGTTAGTTGGTTGAAGGACTCACTGAAGATAGCTTGATGTCTAGGATCCAAAAGTAAAACAGGAATATAATGCACTTCCGTGCCACCTTTTGTCACCTACCTGGAATGATTTCAAAGACAAACTTTCCAGCTTCTTCTGGGTTTGTGGCAATCTCCTTGATTGTACTTCCTGGTAGATACATGCAGCCCTGAAAGATCAGAAGTCAGGCCTTCAGAAAAGCATCCATTTTATCACCTATGAACTAAAATTTAGTTGGAGAACAGATGGGATAAAGATGGGATGGGGAGGAGGGCAGGTGGGGAGGACCATGGGAAGCTAGCAACCCAGGCCCTGGGAAGGTTAAGTGGCAGCTCTGTGAGAGCAAGCTAGGTGCCCAGACAGAGGACCAGGTCCCGACATGGGAGTGAGCTGAGAGGGCACCGTCACCAACACTTGCCTCTTCCCACTTCTCCAAGGACCCAACTTCGTGGGCAAAGCAGACAGTTGGTCTTTGTGAGACTGGGGGGACCATACTACCTGCCAGGCTGCAGGTGGCCATTTGAGGGGACAGGGCACTCAGTAGCAGCAAGAGCTGCTGGGCAGAACTTTCCAGGTGCCTGCCCCTTGGCTAACCACCTTGAATGTATTATTCATGCAGTCCTTCCTGCAACCCTCCTTTGCTTCCACCACCTTTAGCTGAGGTGGTGGGAAACGCCACCTTAACCCCACCCCTACCCCCAATCCACAGAGGGGTGTGTGGGTTCACTGGGATACGTGACCTCTTACACACAGTGTGTCATCAGACAAACAAGCCCCTTGCAGTCTGTGCTTGCAGGTGCTTTGTCACTTGCTGTGCACTTTCACATGCGACAGCTCATCAGGCCCCACGACAGCTCCATAGCGAGGGCTCGGCAAGATTTGTCACTGCCACTGTGCAGACAAGGAAACTTGCACTTCGAAAGGCTAAGTGACTGCACAAAGCGACATAGTTAAATTGCACTGTAGTTAGTTACTCTTCATTTACATCTCACTGGATGTCGACGGTGGCAACTTCTGGGCTGAATAAACACGTGTGTCTTCATTGCAGAATAAAGTGTGGACAAAGGGGATTGGCCATGGAGAGCACTGCAAAGGCAGAGGGGTCCTAAGGAATTCTCAGAAGTAAGATCTGCTCAGGAGCCTTAAACAATAAATGTTTCTTGAAGGTCTAGAAACAAAAGTGTCTAAGATGGAGGGAGGAGAAGACAAGAAGGAGGAGGAGGAAGAGGAACAGGAGAAAGGGCAAAAGGAGGAGGAGAATGAGGATGAGGAGAAAGGTGAGGAGGGGGAGAAGGGGAGGGGAAAGGAGGAAAGCAAGAAGAGAAGAAAAAGAAAAAAATCTGTCTACAAAATGGCTTTCTGCAATTCCTCTACATTCCTCTAATTTTATTGCTTAAAGATACAATTTACCTTCATGGTTCTCACCATCTTTAGTAAATCACCTCAATGCCTTCAGAAGAAATGATCCTGGGTTTGTGGTGCTAGGCTACTTTGATGAGTTATGGCACCAGAATCAAAGGCTATGTTACTTTTAGATAGGAAGGACCACTGCCTCATAGAAAGAGAAGGAAAGTGCAATTTCCAAGGTGCCTGATTCCGCTAAGTACCTCTCTAAACTGCCATTTGGTACCCAAAATCATTTCATCAGAAGGTAGTAAAAATAAAATACTAAAAATAAAAATGCTGTTTATTGAGCAGTTACTAGGTGCCAGACTCCGTGCTAATTGCCCTGAATGTACTAGCATATCTAATCTTCCTAAAAGCCCTATGAGAGAAGGACTGTTATTTTCCCCACTGGAGAGATGAAGGAAGTAAGGCTCAGAGAGGTTAATTAGCTGACCCAACATCACAAAGCTAGTTATTAACCATTAGGAAAGCTATGATTCAAATCTCAGTCAGTGTGATTCCAGAATTGCAAATAAGGCTTGACTGACAAGTCCCACTTGCTGGAAGAAGTAACAGTCAGAGTTAAACTTATTCACACCAAGGCATACATGACTGGTTGCAGGCACTTTCCTCGTATTGAGTATGAGAGCCTTGAACTTCATAAATGAATAAAGGAAGGGAGGTGAGAGGAACAGACACCAGTGGGGGTGAGGTTGGGGACACTTATGTGGAAGGAAGAATTGTCCCAGAAAGGGAAGGGCCCAAGTTGCTCAGAACCACTTTCACCCACTTTGCAGGTTGACGGGGGTGGGCTCCATGTAAATATGGAAGGAGGGAGAAGCTTACCCTGGAGGACACGAGTGCTACAGCGACAGAGCAGGGGAGGCAGCCGTGGCAGTGGCGTGCTGCAATAACTAGAATTCTCTAGATACAACTTTCAAATCCAATTGTAAGTTCCTCTACAACTCAGCTATAGCCCAACTCCTAATTAAAGCATTTTTCAAAATGCATACATTGGCTCACGAGAACTAACTTTTACATTTTCAGGAGCTCCGTGAGCCAGTTGTTACACATGGCCATTGCTAAAACTTAAATTCTATAAACTCACAATGAAATATTTTATATTTGAAAAGGTAATGATACTCAAAATGTATAACTTCCTAGTCATTTACTATATTTTCCTATTACTTCTGCTGTTGTGGTTATTTACATCTATTCTGTATGTGTGGTGGAAATTCTGTATCATGTTGTACTTGCTATTGCACATCTCTTCTCAACTCTGGGTTCAGTGACAGGACATTGGTAGCTTGCATCAGCCACAATGGAGTATTTGCACCGCAGAAATCAGCAGATGCTGCGCTTGAATCAGCTCTCTCACCAGATAGCTGGTTGTTAAACGTTTATCAGCACATCACTGGTAGACAACCACCCGGGGTAACTTTTCAGAAAACAGGGAGATGAGATACTGGAACAATGGGTTTACCCTACTAAACTAGGATTGTCTAAAACTGTTATTGTAGCAGACACTTGTGGGCAATTTTCTGAGATTCTGTTTTAAACAACTTCCCCGACAAAGAACCTTTTGAACTGGGTTATATAAAGCTAGTTCATAGACTTATAGAGCATTATACTATTAGAGCTAGACAGGATCTTTCCAAGAACTTGGAGAAAAAAATGCACAGATTGTCTTCTATAAAGCCACAAGATTCCCTAAAAGCATATACAGAAAAGTCTGTAACGTAGGATTCCATAATTTGTTTAGTCATTCTCCTTTGTTGGACACTAGTTCCAGGGTTTCTCGTTATCAATAGCAGTACGTATCTCTTACTATTTATTTTGGATAGCACCTTAGAACCAGAATGACTGGGTCTAAGGATATGATAATTATTTGGCTCTTAGCAAATCTGGCCAATTGACTCTCTAAAAATTTGTACCAACTTACGCACACATCATCAGTGTATACGAGGACTCTCTTCATCTCATTGCTCCAAGATTATTGGTATATTTCTGTGTTTTGGCTTCTTGAGGGATAGGATGTGTGTGTGTTCTTTTTAAATTTACAAAGTATTATATTTTAATTATAAAACTATTAGAAAATAAACAAAAAAGAAAAAAATTAAAAATTGCATATGTAACCACAGTACCCAAAGATAACCAGTTAATACCTTTGTGTATTTCATTCCAGGCCTTTTTCCATAATACAGATTCATAACATTTTTTCAAGAATAGGATTAATATATACGTCATCTTCTGTTGTAAACTTTTTTTTTTAAAGACAATAATATTATGGACATCTTTCCATTTCAAGAAGTATTAATTTAGAACGTCAATGTCTGAATTGTATTCTATTGCACAGAAATATGAAGGTACCCTAATATAAATTAGCCCCTACTACTGGGCGTTGTTTTCACATCACTATTATAGATAATGTTGTGGTGTAAACCCATTATCTACATCATCCTTAACCATCCACTTAGGTAAAATTCCTAGAATTAGAAATATGGGTTAAAAGGTTTGTATTTTTAAAAAGGCATTATCACCCTCCAGAAAAGTTGTATGAATTTTCACTTCCACCAGCTGTGCACAAGAATTCCTCTTCCCTAATCCTCACCCACCAAAATTTCTAGAAAACCTTTGCCAATTCGATACGGGGACCATGCTGTCTCATTAGCTCATGCTGTATTCCTAATTATTACTGAGATTGAACTTGGTTTTATATGCTTATTGGCCATTACATTTCTTTGATAAATTGCTCATTTGTATCATAGTTCACTTTTCTATTGAGCTGTTTGAACATTTCTTAAGGATTTGAAAGAATACTTTAAACATTAAGAATATTTGTTTACTATATGAACATACACAATTTTTTTCTGTTTATTATTTGCCTTTTTAGTTTATTATATTGGTTTTTAAGGTACATTTTTATTTATGAAATTAAATTAGTCTTTCCTTTGTGCTATCTTTGTTGTTATGCTTTATCCCACTTCCCAGAGATAATTCAGATGTCTAAATTTTCTTCTAGTATTTTTATGAATTCACTTTTTACATTTAAGTATTCAATCCAACCAGAATAATGAATGGTGTAAAATGTAATGTGTAAATGTACCTTTACTCTTTCCCAAGAATTTAGCTCATGTCTATAACTTTTATTTTATTTCTAGATATTTGCAATGTCTAGGAATTCCCCAACAAGGTTAAATGATGATAAATAACAGTATTTTATTTTAAATAGATTTTTCTTTATCTTAATTAATTATGAGTGTATGAAAAATCTATAAGGCTGTCCACTTAATTCTTATTTGTGATAATAATACATAAATATCAGCTCAGATTTCCAACAGTAGAAAGTTAATTAAATAAATTATAGACTGTCCATACAATAGTTTATTTTACCACCATTAAGAATTACATTGTAGAATCATATTTAATGCTAAGGGGAAATATTCTTGACATACTGTTAATTTTTTAATTAAATAATGTTATTATGCTAATTTTTCTTTTGCAAGAGATGAGTTTCTAAATATATATGCATAGGGAAGGCTGGAAGAGGTGGGGATTTAGGTGGCAATCTCTTGCTGAGGGAATTCTGAATAATTTTTATTTTCTACCATGTAACTTTTCTGCATCTTCCAAATTTCTACCATGTACATGTACAGCTTTTTTTGTAATCAATATTTACATATCAAAATACAGTAAAATATGCTTATTTTTTATAATGAATTATCTTATTCCTGAAAGATTTATTTTTTTATATCTGAAATGATAATTGAATTTTATCAAATGCCTTTTTCAGTTATCTATTGAGGGATTGTGTGGTTTTTCTTATTTGACCTATGATCTGATGGACATTAATAGATGTCCTAAAAACAAAATATCCTTGTCATTCTAGAAGAAGCATTACCTAATTATCCCAGGCTAATTTAATCCCGAGAAGGCCTTGAGTTTCTTCTTCCCAGAAGTATGGGGGAGAAGCAGAGACCTTCGAATATTTATTTCATCCATTGACATTAGTTTGTTTTTACAAAGCAGTTTTTCACACATGCTTCCTATCATTTGATCCTGTGACAAGTTCAGGCCAGGTGGTATTGCTTCATTTTATAAAAGAAGACAGAAGAGTCCAGAAAAATTAAGTAATTACATGGCCAGACAGTGGCAGAGCCAGGAAAAGAACATGATCTTTGATATCAAGTACCTGTCACCCTCTATACTTCCTGGAAACGAACACAGCCCAGCTGCCCTTGTCGTAGATTCGGGTTGGACAAAGCCTCATTGCCGTCTCCCTTGCCCTCTGCAGGTGGGAAGACTTCCTGCATCGTCTTCATGCACCAACCAGCACTGTCTCAGCCTGAAACTGCTTGGCTCTGATAAGGACTGGGTTGTTCATAAAGAGAAGGAAGTCGGGTTACCATGCACAGGACACTGGTGGGGTCTCTGTGGTCCTTCCCTCTGCAGTGAAGACACTCAACTCAGAGCCCTCAAGTAGAGGACCTGGCTACTCCGTTCCTGCTGCCGTGTTAACGGATCCTCAAGCCTGCCCTTAAAGAAAACTGTCCTCTTCCAAAATGACCATTTCATGTGAGTTCCATCCACCTGCCCACCCACGACTAATACCCAAATACTTCTTACCCTCGCCAGAATCTGTCTTCTTTAATAAATTTCTTCTGGCCCAGCTCACCTTTCCATCTCCACAGTCGTGAACTCTAGGTAGGTGACCAGCTGTGCTTGTTGAGCTGAGACTTCCGGTTTATATCTGGAGTCTCCTGGTAATTGTTAATAGTGCCTTTCACTCTCCACAGTGGCCGTGGAGAATCAGTGAGATAGGGAGAAGAGACCTGGGCCCAAGATTTAGAATCAAAGCCGACTCTCACAGCCTCAGGCACTATATCAGGAAATCCTGTTTGCTCTACTTCCAAAGTCTATCTGGAAGCTGACCATTTTGCTCCAGCCCATTACTCCCACTGAGATTCTAAACATCATACCCCTTACCTAGCTTATCCCTGCATCACCCCCCTCCCCTGGTCTATTTTTGGGTACAGTAGGCAGGGCTATCTTTTTATAATATAAGCCAAAGAATGTCCCCTCTCTGTCTGGAGCCCTGCAATGCCTTTCTGTGGTCCTTAGTGTAGATGTTCAAGTCCTTACAGGGGCCAACGATGTCCCTGGCAATCTGGCCCCTGCCCCTTGACACCCCCCCTCACTTCTCTGACCTCAACCCCTCTGATCCTCATTACTCTCTAGCTCTGCTGCCCCCACATTGACCTCCTTGCTGTTCCCCTCACAGGCCAGACATGCTCCCCTTGGGGCCTTCGCACTGGCTGTTCCCTCTGCCTGGAACTCTCTTTCCTAGGGATCCTCCTGGCTAATTCCTTCTCCTCTTTAGTCTTGGCTCAGATGTCACCCTCTTCCTCAGGTCACTTGGACCACCCTATTTAAAGCTGCAACACCGCCTCGAATTCTTGACCCCCCTTAACCTATTGTATTTTTTCCCTCATAGATCTAATCTTTTTCTAACAAACCACATACTTCTCTTATTTATCATGCTTATTTTCTGTCTTTTCCCTCATATCCTGAGCTCCACATGGCAGATATTTTTATCTATTTTCCTCACTGATTTATTTCAAGTACCTAGAACAGCACCGACATGTAGTCAATAAATGCTCTATAAATGTTTTTGAACAAACAAATCAGTGAGCTCCCAAGTCAATTTTCCTGCACCCAGATCACCACCATCACCCCCATGCCAAGAGCCATGAATTAGAGCTGCATGCAAGACACCCCCCAGTGCCCATCTCGGGCTTCCTGGAGGACCAGTCTGTTGTCTTTGCAACTCCATTTATCTAGCTAGAAAATGCTGAAAAGGCAAAAGTGACCTCTCTCCAATGGATATGTCTAGTCCTATTGAGCAGGCCCGTGGAGCCCAGTCTGAGTGGGCTCCACGCCCGCCTCCTCCGTCCCTGGAGAGGGACAGCCTTATTATTAATGCGGACAAACAGCCAGGCTGGTACCTGTGGCTTCATGTCCTCTTCATCCTTGTAGTAGTAGAGTTGCTGCGCCCTCAGCACAAAGTACCTCTGCTGCCAGTTTTTCACGATGGACCTCTGCTTCTTCAGCCAGCCCATCTTGATGGGCCTCTCCAGTGGGTTGGGAGTGGACGACAGGTGAGAGGAGGCCATCTGCTCGCCGGTCATCACGCTCCTTGACCGAGCTGTAGAGAGGAACAGACAGGCAGACTGACTGAGGGACATGGGGCAGCAAGCACAGAGTGGGTGGAGAGACGACAGGGGAAGCCCCGGGGGTGGGGGGGGCGTGCTGAGAGGCGGGTGAGGCCACAGTCGGGTCCAGTTCAGGGGTGCAGATCTGTATCAGAGAGAATCCCCCAAGAGCCAGAGAGGCAGCCAGGGGTCAGCTCCTGGTCAGGGCCAGACCAAAACCAAAAACGAGGGGGACGCCAGCAGCCCCGTGCACACGCAGTCCATTCTGCAAAGCGAAAGGTTGGCTGGAGCCTTCTGAAGAGGAAGTGGCCGCAGCATCTGACACAAGGTGCTTCCTTTTCCTGCGTGGGAGTCAGCATCTGACAAGAGAGAGGAGAAAATAATGCCTTGCTCTGAGGGCTCCGGGTGAGTCCCAAGCAGCTGCGGAGGCCGCCGGAAGTGGCCTGGGCATTCTTCCACAGCGGCCGTGTCTCAGGAGGAGCTAGTTGTGTTCGCTCTGACCTTGCTGTCGAATTGAGTCCTACAACAGACCCCACTAAACCCGGGCCCCCGGCCCCACGACCAGCCTGCAGGGGGTCGGGCCCTCCTGAATTTTCCTGCCCAACGTCATTGGGTGCCGTCCTGCCCCCTGCCTGCTGAGAGTGCTTACAGCACTTTATGTTGGACAAGGACCTCACCGTAGCTGTCTTCCCATTTCCAGGCAGGTCGTCGCTGCCAACAGAATTCAGAAGCAGGATTTGAAGCCAGACCCCTCAACCCCCTGCACGGAATGGTTTTTGTTTTCACACACGAGTTCTGCCTGTCATTGGACTAGGCCGAGGCCTGTGCGTCCACACCTCATCCCCGTGGTAACTCCCACCCAGGACAACTGTCCCCTTTCCTCGCCCTCACAGTGCTCCATCGGTCATCCCATCCCCCTTCCACACTTCCCTCTGAGCCTCACCTTCCTTCTTTGCCAGCCGGCTCAACAGTGACCTTAAAGCCACATTAGAGCTCCTTGTCCCCTTGGCCTTGTGCCACAATCCACCCTTGCTAGTACTCAATGTCTGTGTTCCTTTCTTTCTGCCAAGTGTTGCTGGAGGAGGTCTCCATCTTCCAATGCCTTCCTTCAGCTTTTGTCAGTCCCAGAACCTTCGGGACATGGCTGAACCAAGCTGTCAGCTCCTCTCTCGCCCCACTCCGTCTCACCTGACCAGAGACTAGTTCTTCCTCTCCTGGCTCTTTGACCGTGGATAAATTATGCCTCTTCCCTGAGCTTTGGTTTCCTTGCTTGTTAAACTAGGATAATAATGGTCCCTGCTATATGGAATTGTTGTGGAGATTAAACAAACTAACATACACAAACCACTTAGCACAGTCCCTGGTCCAAGGTAAGCATACGCTACTCTTATTACTTTCATCAGCAGATGAGTTTACTTCCTACTACAAGGAAGGGGATCATTTTCAAGACCTTCTTCAACTTCTCTCTTCACTTCAAAATGTAATGGGTACAAATATACACTTAGAAGAAATAATACCTGGTGTTTGATAGGTAAGCAAGGTGACTACAGTCACATTAATCGATTGCACATTTCAAAATAGCTAGAAGATAATAATTCAAATTCATTTGCTCTAAGGCTAAGGCTGTGTAAATGATGCACAGGAACCATGGAAGGGAGTTGGCAGAAGGCAGTGGGAAGGAGGGAATTTGAAGGACCGTGTGTATCTCTGTGTCTCTCTAGCTCAGAGACTGGACCTTGCAGGGACTCTTATCTGTCCTAGAAAGAGGGCTGAGAGTAGGCAGAAATGAAAAGGATGGTTTACATACAAAATTTTTGGAGAAAATGGAAGAGTGAGGCATTCTGGCTAATGAAGGGGCATTCTCCCCACCTCAACAGCCTCTGTGTAGTCCATCACAGTGTGACTTCTGTGACCATCCACCAGAAGAAACATCAGCATGAGAGAGAAGGCCTCTTCCTGGCAGCGGCATAATGAGAAACCTTCACTTGACTTCAGGAGTGATGCCACCAACTCAAGAGAAGCGTAAGTCAGGCAGGTGCCACACGGTGGCTATAAGGACCCAGGCCTCTTGGACCACCTTTAGAGGCCCACAGACACTGTTAGGATCACTGTGGAAGAGAGGGGAAACTGGAGGTCTCCCACAGCACTGAAGAATATGCTAATGCCTGCAGGTGCTAAAAGGATGCTACGGATTGAAGAGAATTAGCTCAGCCTGGAAGAACTCAGAGTGGCTATTATTTTGTGCTTAATTTTGTGAAATTTTTCAAGCATCATCCTGGCAAAAAGAACAATAACAACAAAACAAACAAAAACCAAAAACATGCCCTTAGAAGCATCTGTGCCCTGCAGAATGGCCTGGCGAAGGCAGGAGTAGGTGTGAAGATCTTACACCCTCAGAACTGGCCAGGAGGGGCTTTGAGGCACTTGTGGCAGGAGGACAGCCACCTGGTTTGCCTACATTTGATCCAGGCTTTGACTGACCACACTTCATATTCCATAAATCAAACTACTCACTGTACATCCAACTGGTGTTTCTTTAGTGCCTGTCATCATCCCACCAGAGCTGATGTGACCACGGCCACTGAGTCATCCTTACAAGTGGGGAGTGGGGACAGCTCGGCACCCGCCTCCACGCTGCTGGAATTAGGCCCAAACACGGGGGTGGGGGTGACAGCTGGGGGCTCAGACGAGCCAGTGATCGGGCAGGAACACTTTCTGTTCCGTGCGCAGAGCGATCTCCCACCCAGGTCTAGCACGAGATGATTCAAATATCAGAAAAGAAAGCCTGGGGGCCTTGAGTCTGACTTGGTTTTGACTAACTTTCCTTGTTAGTTTCTTTGAACTGCCTCTCTTTGTGGGTGTGACTTGTTCCGGATAAAGTAAACAGAGAGATCTGTTACTATTAATGGAGCTGTTTCTCATAATGAAAATAATAACCGTGATAAGCTTTGCTTGTGAGCCAGGCATTGTGCACTGAGTGCACGTTCCCAGCCCTTCGGGGAGGGGTCTGAAGCAGGCTGCGGGCCGGAGGTGGGGCTGCAGGCAGACCAGGGAGGCAAGGCAGGAAGGCAGTGGCTCAGTGTTTACAGAACGCTCTGGGGTGAGTGGGAAATGAGGGTCTCAGTGAGGTCAGAAACCCACCCACTCTGGCAGAGAGAGAAAGAATTGGTTCCCAGCACTGTGCTGTCAGTACAGGAGCCACCAGCTGTGAGTAGCTGTGTATATTTAAATGAATTAAATTAAATTAAGTTAAAATTCAGTCCCTCAGTCATGCCAGCCACATTTCAAGTGCTTAGTAGCCCACTGTGGCTTGTGGCTGCAGTATTGGACAACACAAGTAGAGGACATTTCCATCATCACAGAAAGCTCTGTTGGTTGGCACTTCTCGGAACCGGAGTGCTCTCAATACAAAGCATGGGATGACATGGGCCATAACGGTGGGGCAGCATTTCATCAAACAGAGAAATCAAGCTGGAGGGCCCAGAGAAGAAGAGGCTTTAGGTGGCAGAGTGAGGCATTCAACCTTGATCTGAGAAGAAATAGGGAGCTATTTCATGTTCTTGAGCAAGAGAGGACTGTGATAAAAATAGGAAAGTTATGTAATTGGACTGTTTATGCTGAATTTTAGTCTGCAGCTGAGGGAGGGTACTAGAAGGGAAAGAAGAGAAATGGAAGAAATACCACATTGCCAGGGATGTGGTTTCTGCAGTAGAAGTTAGCTACTTTCTACCCCAAGTTGGAACAAGAGAAAATTAAAGAAGGAAGTATGAACAGAGAAGTCAGCTGAGAAACATTGTCACTTCCTTTCTTTATCTTCCCATCCTCTGACCCCTAACCCACAGTATAATCACAAAATCTCCTAGGGGCTACCTTTGATTCTATCTGTTGTCAATTCTGCCTCAGTGTAGATTCTGTTTTAGATGCCGTGTATGTGCGGGTGAGGTATGAGTAGTTCTTTCAAAGCTGGGGGAACTATTTCAGGTGTTTTCTCCATATTTGGTATGAGCAGTGCATTAGTTTGGGAACCACATTTAAATGGATTTGAAAAAGGAGTAGAATTTACACGGTTTCCCCCAGCTCCGTCTCCTGAGCTGCAGACCTATGGATCCAGCTGTCTGATGTACCTCCAAGGGAATCTCAAGCTTACCATGTTGCTAAATAAACTTACCACCTTCCCCTTCTCGCTTCTGCCGTTCTCCCGCCTTGCACTGACAAACACGTTGAAACCTGCTTTACCTCCACCGGTCTCTCTGCTGTGCTGTGAGTGACATTCTTCCAGCCAACCCACCAAAACAGAAAGTGACCCATTCTTGCAGCCAGCACAGACAACATTGCTTATGACACAAATCTGATCATGTTACCCTCCTGCCTAAAAGCCTCCATGGCCCCCAACACCTCCCTCCTGAAATAAGAAGGCTAAACCCCCTGCCATGGAGTTTGAGTCCTTTATGGCTTTTCCTACTTCATTTCCTGCTCTTCCTCCATACCCACCCTGTACCTTACCCATGACAATATGCCATCCCTCTGCTTCAGGGTTCTCCCCACCCATGCCCACCCCCACCCAATTCAACCTCTTGGAAAACTCTCATTCATCCTTCAAGACTCACTTCAGGCCACATCTCCCACAAGAAGCCTTCCCCGCCCAGCCAGGCGCAGCCGCTCCCTGGCCCTGTCCCCTCATCAGGGGCACATGTGCGTTGTAGCCCTCATCCCCTTGCTTGGCACTGTTTTTGCATCCTGTCTTCCCTCTCCACATGTGCTCTAAGAAGACAGGCACATGTCTTCTTTAGTGGCAAAGTGAGGCACATAAACTTGATCTGAGAGGAAACAGGGAGCCGTTTCATGTTCTTGAGCAAGAGAAGAAGGCCACCTTCACATTTGGCCTTGCTCATCCTTGTACCCCAGCACCTGCCATGGTGCCGGGCACAGAGAAGGCAGGACAGAGCAGCAGACATGCAGAGACCCTACACCTGCAGCCTTGGGTAAGTCATGC